GTTGTCAAGTTTATAATTATCATTGCATATCATAAGTCATACCATTAATTAATTGTTTGTTTTTTAAAATAAAATAAAATAACACACTTGATAAAATAGTAACATGTAAAATCAATACCTTCTTTTAGCTGGAAACCACCACTAAAGTATTGCAGTAAGTTGATTCCAAGCATAGCTTGGTAAAAAATAACTTGCTTCTTCCAGAGCTGCAGATCTGAGCATGCGCGACCACACCCAAATATTGGAGCACATGGCAAGCTTCTTTAATTAACAAAATGGCGGCATGTAGCTAAGATGGCTCGATCCAGTATCACTTTTTCCTTACTTGAAGAATGATCTGATGGGACATGGACCTGCGCATAGACTGTTGGAGTAGATTGGTGTAAGAATTATTCTTGTAGCACCAACTGATACTGAGATACACACCGACAACTGGATTGACAGGACTTGATGAAGATGATGATGATGATGATGATGAAGATGAAAAAAGGTGGCTGAACAAAACGGCCGGTTCGCCGATTTTTGACTTTTCGCTTAGACAAGGTCTAGAGCCACGCTAGTTGTACCATTGGATTCCTCTGGTCAAGATAAGGTCCTCTATAAAGTCTGGTAAGCATAGGAGCTCGTTTTCCCGGTATAGCAAGGCTGCAAAAGTCGTGGCAGCCATTTTGTTTGGGGGTGAATCCTACTTAGTAACGCTACCGCGTTACTAATAGTACAGGGACTTTGACCTGATTTTGAAGCAACTTTAAAAATCCGTAAAAAATCCAAATTTGATCAGAATCTGTTCAAACTTGAAACACAACATAAGAACATGTATATGTATCAGGAAATGTAATAAAATTGAGGAATTTTCTCCTTTTCATTTTTTGTGAAATTTGGCGAAAGTCCCTGTACTATAGTACAGGGACTTTAGTCCGATTTTGTAGTAACTTTAAAAATCCGTAAAAAAATCCAAATTTGATTGAAATCTTTTCAAACTTTCTACACAACATAAGAACATGTATATGTATCAGAAAAA